TTGATGAAAAGAAGACAACCCTTCGCCTGCCAGGCTCCAAATCCTTGACACTTGAAGACACTTTTTTTATTATAAAATATTTCAAACATACAGAAAACCCTATGATGCACATAACATAGATATACTCATACCTCTCAACTTTAACAAATCTAAACATTTTGACGTCTTTGCTACATAATGTCATATAAAACATAATATATCACGAAGGCAGTTGGAGCTCCTACGCCAGCCTTCCTGCTCCATTCTCCTCCCTTCCTTCCCAAGCTAACCCTCCGGAAGCTGGTGCCGATCAACACGAACATCCCAGGTCTCGCTCTCATTGGCCTGAAGTGGATCACGTGCTTAATCACATGCTTATCCTTCAGCCAATCACTGTGGCCAAATGCATGGGATGTGCCACTGACTTCCGATGGGGTCAGATGCCCGCTCCCAGAGGAGTCAGCAACCCCAGCCATGGGGACTGAGAAGGGTGGTTACCATAAGGAAAAAACCATATGAACTTAATAAAAGAAGGAATGCTGAATGGCAGGAGCAACAGATGTCAAGTCACTCATGTTGAGAACATGTTGTCATTCAAGTTAAAAGCAAGACAAGTAATTCGAGGGGCAAGGCACACTTTGGGGGTCACCCCTCCATTCTGTCCATCACAGCCCTGTGGGAGATGGCTCTGGATCTCTGCCCAGCTCACCCCTCCCCACCGACCCTGGGGGCCCCCAGCAACCATACTTCCTCCACGCATTCCAGGTTGGGAGCCTACAGGTGACTGTCCAGTAGGAGTGGTCATGCCGACCCACGCAAAGCCAATCAGATGCTCTCTCCTGACACTTTGGTATTTCATAGCCAGCCAGCTGATATCTGAGGGTGGCTAGAACTGTGACGATCAGGACCAACCCTCTTCCACCATATGGAACAGGCAATTCACAGTCAGGAAAAACAGGTGGCCAGCAGAGAGAAGCTCAACTTGACTTGCATTCAGGGAACAGCTGAGTAAACAGCAAGATATCGTTAGTCACCTATCTGATTGGCAAAGATTTGAAAATGTGATGCTCTTAGGAATGGGGACAGCATGGGGAAAGGGGGATGCACAGCTGGGAATGTGTCAATTAGTAGGGCCACTTTGGCCAAATCTATTTAAATCTAAAAATGCACGTGCTCTTAAATGCAATGTGGTATCCTGGATGGGATCCTGGAACAGAAAAAGGACATTAGTGGAAAAACTAGTGTTACAGACTGAATTACGCTCCCCCCTCCCCAAGTTCATATGTTAAAGCCCTAAGGCCCAATGTGACTGTATTTGAAGACAGGGGTAATTAAGGCTAAATGAGGTCATAAGGGTGGGGCCCCAATTCCATAGCACTAGTGTCCTTCTAAGAGGAAGAGACACCAGAGAGCTCTCTCTCACCCGACATGTACACAGAGGAAAGGCCATGCGAGGACACAGCAAGAAGGCAGCTGTCTGCAAGCCAGGCAGAGAGGCCTCACCAGACACCAACACTGCCGACACCTGGATCTTAGGATTCCAGCCTCCCAAAGTGTGAGAGAATAAATTCATGTTGTTTAAGCCGCCTGCTCTGTGGTGTTTTGTTATGGCCGCCCAAGAAAACGAATACCACTAGCGAAACCCAAATGAAGTCTGGAGTTGAGCTAATAGTCATATGCAAATGTTGGTTTCTTAGTCTTGACAAATGTACCACGACGATGTAAGGGGAAAACTTTAGGGGAAACCGGGCGAGAGGTATATGAGAACTCTCTGTGCTATCTTTGCAACTTTTCTGTAAATCTAAAATGATTCCAAAATTAAAAGTTTTCTTTACAAAATGCACATCCCCTCTGACCCAGCAATTCTACCCTACAGAAACGTACACACATAAGGGGCTGTGGACAAGGGGGTTCTTGCAGCATGATAGGTCGTAATGACAACCTGGGCATTACCTACCTGGCCTCCAATAGGGAAAGTGCTGAATAAGCCAGGGTATGTTCATGCTATAAATACTAGGTGGCCATAAAAAAGAAGAAAGTAGGGGCTGGCCCCATGGCTGAGTGGTTAAGTTCGTGCGCTCTGCTGCAGGCAGCCCAGTGTTTCGTTGGTTCTAATCCTGGGCGCGGACATGGCACTGCTCATCAAACCACGCTGAGGCAGCGTCCCACATGCCACAACTAGAAGGACTCACAACGAAGAATATACAACTGTGTACTGGGGGGCTTTGGGGAGAAAGAGGGGAAAAAATAAAAATAAAAAAAGAAGAAGAAAGTAGAACTATGTGCGCCAAAGTGATAAAAGCAAATTGCAGGAGGATTTAAGTTTTTGATAAAATATTGTTACGGGACAAAGAGGAGAAAGAGGAACCGGAGCTGTTTGGGGGCTGCAGGGGCTTTCAGGCTGGTGGCACCTGGACACCGCCCGCCCCTTGGCCGTTCAGCCCTCAGTGCCCATTGCATGTGTCTCCACCCTCCCGCTTCTCCGCTTTCCCTCTAACTCTTCTCTCTGTCTTCCTTCTTTCTCCTTAACTGTTCATTAAAAACAGTCACAGTATTTCATTAGGTTGTACTTACCCAATTCTTAGGGAAAGACAGACACTTTCCTGACTAAAAGAAACGTTTATCTCCCCACTTACTAATGCAGGAGATACCCAATTGCTTTTTCCTCGTATGTGGCCTTCAGAAGTTCTGTGCAACGGCAGCCCTCAGATGCCCTGTTCCCTGTAATCAGGACCCGCCCAGGGCTCAAAGCTGGGAGCAGCGTGGGGACACGGAGAAGCTGCCTCCTGAGCTGTGGGGACATTGACATCCTCTCTGGGCTTCTAACAGTTCTGTAGCTCTGGGGAATGCGGTCCTCCCCGACATCCCGTCCAATGAACCACGGATGCCTCTCGATTCTAACGCCTCACCTTCTCTTCCCAGCTGACCAAACTTAAGGAGCCCGTTGTTAAAAGAGAAACTGAGGCATGCTAAAATTTTAGGAATTTATTTGAGCAAAAATCAATTCCAATCGGGCAGCGCCAAACCAGAAGAAGATAGAAGCCCGCCATGGACGGGAGCTGGAGGAAAGGCGGGAACGAAGTAAGGGAATGATTGATTCGCTACAGCGGAAAGCCTGGCTGGCTGTTTGTGATCGGTTGGCCTTAGTGTTTCGCTTTCCTAACCTTGGCATCGCAGCCACCTCAGACTAATGGCCTCCTTGTCTAATTAGCTTAACAATATCCCCCTTTTGGTGATCCTCTCATACATGAAAGGTTGACCACAAACTTGATATTAGTGCCACTCTCAGTCACCCTCAGAGTTAAACTGCCCTTGGCTCATGATGAAACTCATAGGTTATTACGTCAGATCCCCAGAAGAAGGACTTTCGCTGTTTATCCCGTTGTTCACCTCGTTTCTGTGTCTCCAGGCACAGTGAGACCGTGTGATGTGGGCCTGGTGGCTGCAAACATGCATTTAAGATCTTTGAGAGAACACAGCACACCGGGGAGACTAGATGATGACTCTTAGATTAATTCCAAGGGCTGTAGCCAGGACCCCCATGAACCAAACCGGTTGGTATCAAAGAATGTACCTAGTGAGTTATCAATCTGTTTTAGCCAAGTGGCTTGTTTGTAAATTTCTGGCATTTGAGTTTCTGGAACACCAGAGGTGTGCATCCGGGTACAGCAGGAGGTATTTGCTATGGCACAGACTCCTCCTTGTTCAGCCAGCAAGTAACCTAAAGCAATTCTATCTAAAACCACTTAGCAAGAGAGCCCGGGGACTTTCATTGTGCAGCCATGGCCTTAGCAGTAGACGCAGCAACAGTTGCCAGCGTTAAGAATACATTTCCCATCATACGTTCATTCGTACTGACTCCAAGCCAAGGAAGAAGGGATCGTCCAAAAGACGCCCTTTCCAGAGAAGTTAACATCTGCTGGTAAACTCCTTTTTGGTCAATAGTATAAATTCAAGGGAGTGGACCAATGTCGAGCTTCTGTGACATTATGAAGGGACAACGGGACAGTACAGCAAGAGCACGTTGTCCTTTCATCCTTCAGCTCTCAAGACAATGCGTTGCCCAAGCATGGGGACCATTATCAAAACTTCCACATATAAAGGAGTGGCCAGGTGGTGTACATAGGGCTCCCTCGTAAGGAGCATCATTTTTGGCCCCATTGGTCAGTATGGAGGTGTGAGCATCACTCAAGCAAGACTCAAATGCTGCATTATCACATATTCAAAGACCACCTAGGGGCTGGCCCCGTGGCCCAGTGGTTAAGTTCGCGCGCTCCGCTGCAGGCGGCCCAGTGTTTCCTTGGTTCGAATCCTGGGCGCGGACATGGCACTGCTCATCGAGCCACGCTGAGGCAGCGTCCCACATGCCACAACTAGAAGGACCCACAACAAAGAATATACAACTATGTACCGGGGGCCTTTGGGGAGAAAAAGGAAAAAAAATTTTTTTTAAATCTTTAAAAAAAAAACAAAAAAAAACAAAGACCACCTAAGTATATGGGCCTGACAGTGAGCCTACAAATGGTCTGACTTACACTGATTGTTCTGCAGTGTCTTTTTTTTTAATGCTTTTTGGTGAGGAATATTGGCCCTGAGCGAACATCTGTTGCCAATCTTCCTCTTTTTTTTTTTCTCCCCAAAGCCGCAGTACACAGTTGTATATCCTAGTTATAAGTCATTCTAGTTCTTCTATGTGGGATGCCAGCACGGCGTGACTTGGTGTGTAGGTCCGTGCCTAGGATCTGAACCAGTGAACCCCGGGCCACCAAAGCAGAGTAGGCAAACTTAACCATTCGGCCACAGGGCTGGCCCCTGCAGTGTCTTTTTATATATATTTAATGTATCTCATTTTCCTATCCCAGGGTTAGGTTAAATTGAGGCAAGAAATGGGGGTATGTGGACTTAGTATTTTAACTTTATAAAAAGGGACCTGCAGAACAGTTTCGGCCTCCCGTGGCATTTGGGACTCCAGTGAAATTACTTATAGGGTGAACTAAGGGGTCTCTCTCTTCATTTACTGATTTTGGTTTAGTGTGACAAATGCAGCAGTTGGTTACGTTTTCTGCAGTAGCTATTGACTGTGAAATCCTAATTATAGTGTTATCTCCCCAGGCATTAATGGGGAGCAAAAGCAAAAAGCAAGTAGGCAAAAGGGATAAAGGTTTCATATTGGAGACGGAGATCTTGACCCGTGATCCTGGGAGAGCTGTCCACCTCAAGGCGTTGTCTGCTTCTGGGGAGGAATCTCCTGGGTCAATTTTGACTTTAGATCTCCGGCTGCTACGTAGTTCCAGGAGTCTGGAGGAGCGCTTTTCCGCTGGGAGACATGGACCCCAAGGTTCAAGTCCCTGAAGTCTGGCTGCCATCTGGGTAGCGAGGAGAACGTGGTACGGTCCCTTCCAACAAAGTGCAAAGAAGTCTTTCTTAGGGGTCGTTTCCAGAAGAAGCACTCTCCAGGTTCTAAGTTGTGGAAGGTTGACCATCTGTCAGAGAGTTAAGGAAAGATCCCGTCACCTGGTGGAAATACACTTTGGCGTAACGCGCTAAAGCTTTACAATACTGAGTCACGTCAGAATTCATGAGTACAAGAGGCCCACGTGGTTCTACCATCAAAGGCATAGGTCTCCTGTTACTATTTTGTAAAGCACTGATTTATGCTTTCCCAAAGGTGTGGACCTAACTGCCATCAAAACCAGCGGTAGAACTTCTGGCCAGGGCAGTCCAGTTGATTCTGTTGATTTAGCCAGCTTTAAATTTTTTTTTTTTTTTTTTTTTTGAGGAAGATCAGCCCTGAGCTAACATCTGCTGCCAATCCTCCTCTTTTTGCTCAGGAAGACTGGCCCTGAGCTAACATCCGTGCCCATCTTCCTCTACTTTATACATGGGACGCCTACCACAGCATGGCTTGCCAAGCGGTGCCATGTCCGCACTCGGGATCTAAACCCGCGAAACCCGGGCCACCGAAGTGGAACGTGCGAACTTAACCGCTGCACCACCGGGCCGGCCCTGCTAGCTTTAATTGTAAGTTATCATTTGTCCGTTCAACTTTACCAGATGACTGAGGCTGACAATGGTAATACGATTGTGTCAGCTGTGCCTTATTTAGCTGTTTAATTATTTGTCTGGTGAAATGAGTTCCCCATCACTGGAGATTTCTCTGGGGATGCCCCATAAAGGAAATATATTTTCTAAAAGTTTCTTAGCCATGGTTGTGGTGTCAGCCTTTCTCCATGGCAAGGCTTCATTCCATCCTGTGAACACACAAACAATTGCAAAAACACATTGATAACCCATTGCAGGAGGCAATTGAATGGAATCCATTTGTAAGTGTTAAAATGGCCCAGTAGCTGGTTCCATCTAATACCTTAATGGGTCTTTCAGGGTTATGGGTTTGACAAATCAGACACTGGTCGTAAACCAATTTTGTGACCTTGGAGCCATCACCCCATCAATACTTTTTCACAATTTGGATCATCTTATTTGTGCCATGATGAGTTGCAGAATGGAGCTTTCAGTAATGACATTTTTAAGGACTCGGGACGAACCAGGTGGCCATCCAGGCCCTCAGCGAGTCCTCATTTAATATTAAATTCGCACCCTTGTTGGTCTCAACATTGTTGCTCCAGCTCAGGTGCCTGATTCTGTCTTTTATATGAATTATCGTAAAGAATTCCGTTAGAGTCAGTCTTGTGGCGTTCACTCCTGTTGCACATTGGAACAATTTCAGTGCTGGCTCATGGAACATGGACGTCTTCTAGAGCATTTCCATGCTACTCAGGATCTGTTTTTCTAGGCAGGGTGTGGAATGATCTATTTGGATATTTTTGGGTTCAGCACTCTTAATTTTGCCTCTGTCGGTTGAGGAGGAAGCCCGTGGGCATCCAGGCACTTCTGAGAGATCGGGGCTTTCATACTGTCGAGTCTCAATTTCATCAATTCCTGCTTGCGGAGAGCAGAGCAGTTCAGGTTCCGGAGAGTCAAGAAATCCTAAGATCTTTTCTCCTTCTGAGTTAAATTTTATATAACTCCTCAATTTAGAAAGCAAATCTTGTCCTAACAGGCTCACCAGGGCAGTGTCACGAGAAGGAAATTATGGCTTCCTGAAAATGGCCCCGCTGCCAGCTGGACTGGCTTAGACACGGGTACCCTTTGAATTTGGTTAGAAACCATCGCCCCCACCCATGAAAATATTCTCTTTGCTCTGAGACATTTGCTGTTTTAGGAAAGTGAGGTTTAATGTAGATAAAGTGGACGTAGGACCCACCAATACCGTACAGGATTCTGCATTAATATTTATCTTAGTTTGCCCTTGCTCATTTGGAAGTATCACGGGGAGCAGTTTACCGGAAGATCCCTTGGAGGCCCATCAAGGCTTATTATTATTTCAGTAATCAAATTTTTTAACACTTCCCCAATGGAAAAACAGTCTGGACTAATAGGTGGAGGTCTGTTAAACGATGGGTTCAGCAGGCGGCATCCCTTTTCCCAGGGTCCTGGTCGTTTGCATCGCAGGCACATTTCCGGGCAGAGTATTGCTGAGTGGACTACCTCCAGATCCTGACCTGAAATGTATGCGGAGGTCCTCTCGGCCGTTGGAGCCGTTGTAACTGCAGCACCATAAGTTTATTCCTTTTATCTTGCCCCAAGGTTTATTCAAAATGCTCGAGTAGGGCTGTTAATTCAACAAGAGCGGTGGCTTTCCAGCCCGGCTTGTGTCTCTTTATTAGGCTACTTGGTTCAGGCACAAGCAAGAAAGTCAGGGTGTTTTCTGTGCCTGCGTTTAATAAAGAAAGCCCAGAACATTTTGCAAAAAGAGTTTCCAGTCTTGTTTCATAGTCTGAGACTGCTCCATCCTTTCTTTCTTTACAGGATGAAATTGACAGACCAGTCAGTCTTTTGAGGAAATACCTTATCAATACTTTCAATTAGGTCTTGCGCTGTTTTTCTAGCATGTTTTGGGCCATTCTGGCGGGGGGATTAGGATGTGGGTCTTTAAATGTCGCTTTCGGGATCGTCCCATTTGGCTTTAACTATCCATTTTCAGACATCGCCAGGTCCTAATGTCATATGAATAAACTGATAGAGATCCAAGAGTCCCAGATGGTCATCTCCAATTAAAATTCTAAATCCCTCATAAAATTTTTGAGGATTCTCTTTAGGGTTTGGAAAAATCTTTGATGATGGCCCTAAGTTCAGCCTTTGGTCATGGAGAAAAGATGGTTACTTCTGGTATTCCAGACTCAGCAGAGGTCCTCCCCTTAAAGGCCATTTGTTCAGCCTCTAGCTCATCTTCAAAGTGAAAAGGCGATTAATTAAAGGGATTAACAAGTTCGAAATATTTAGGGAGAGGAGCGTAGAGAGAAGGAGCGGTTGGAGCTGTCAGAGTCAAGGTAGCCAGTATAAACTTCTTTTTAGATTCACCGTCAGCTTGTTGCTTAAGCTTTTCATTTGCCTTTTGTAAAGAATCTTTTAAAGAGGCAATTTTTGATTCATTTAGTTTCTTAGAAGCTTCTGCATACCAATTAAAAATGCATCCCATTGTTTTGGGGAAATTCAGGACCCTTTTTTCTCTAGAGCACCTCATAAATGGATAAGCTTATTTAGGTTAAAAGTTCCCCACTGTGGTCACCGTAATTCAGGGTTATCCTTGGTGAGGTTAAACCATTGGTTCAGGAAAACACAGGTTTGGGGCCCATAATTTTTATACATATAGTTAGCTAGGGTGGTAGATGGGGAAGTCTCAGACAGTTTGGACTGAGGGGAACTCACTTTTCTAATTTTTTTCCCTTATTACCTGAAGCCTGAGGTCCCAGTCCAATCCCAAACCCAGTCTGATTTCTAAGTTGGACCCAGTCCGAGCCCAGACCCAGTCTGGAGAACAAAATACTCAAATAAATTCAGAGAGCTCTTTTAAATGCAAAAACCGTGGAGCTCAGATCTGAGAGGACTTACCCGTGACCTCCAGATAAGGTGAGAAAGCAGGGAGCAAGATGAGCTCAGCAGGTACCTTCGTCTGGTTGCTCATTGTTTCCGGGGACCTTTGGGGGTCTCCTTCAGATCCCACTTCTGACACCAGAATTGTTAAAAGACAAACTAAGGCATATTCAAATGGGGGGAATTTATTGGAGCAAAAATCAGTTGCAACTGGGCCATGCCAAACTGGAAGTGGCTAGAAGAGTTCTGTCAAGGGGAGCCAGGGAAAAAGTTTTACAGAGAAAAGGAAGACACAAAGTAAGGAAATGATTGACTGGCTATAGCTTAGACCCCAGTTGGCTGTTTGTGATTGGCTGTCCTGAGATTTCACTTTCATAACCTTGAGGTATTTACAGGCTTAGATTTTGGTTTACTTATGTAGGCACTGCAGCCTCGGAACCGCCTCAGTCTAACGGTTTCCTTCTTTCATTAATGTAACAGCACATACAGCTCCCTCTGCCTGGACCGTACTTCTCCCTCTGCTCCTGGTTCAAGCGTCCTCATCCTTTAGGTACTTCAAGAACCTCCCGTATCTGGGTTAGGTGGTGCCCTGTAAAACCCAGTCAAGACAACACAAGAATGTAATTGCCTTATTATTCGTCTGTCAAAATAATCTACCGAAATGTTAATTTGTCTTTTGTTTCCACTGCTGTTGGAGAATTAGCAGCCCATTGATTTTGAAAGCCTCAAATAGAAGAAAAGCAGCAAGATTGTCCCAGAGGGGAAGGATCTCAGGAGCTTAAGGGAGTGCTGGCAGGATTCTGGGAGAAGCAGGGAAGAGATGCCTGTGGACATCTCCTAGGTCTTGAGAGAAATGGAGAAGGTCTCTGTGGACTGTATTCAAGGAGAACTTTGTCAAGCTCTGAGAAAGTGTAACAGTGGGTCTGGGTGGTCAGGAAAAGGCTTACCTGAAAAAGCTGGGGTAATAGGGAGATCTGAAGGCAGGGCAGGAGTGGATCAGGAGAGTACAGGTGGGGAAGATCATTCCAGGCATTCCAGCATGTGCAAAGGTCCTGTGGTAGAAGGGAACAGACTCATATTAAGAGGAAAGTAGCGTGGATGAGATATGACTTGGGGCAGGCCCAAGCATACAGGTTTTAAAGGTTTTGTTAAGGATGTTGGTCTTTATTCTAAGAGCAAGGGGAGGTAACTGAGGGCTTTTTTGGCATGGCATGGGTTGTGTGACATTATCAGATTTATATTTTGAAAAGACAACTGGAAATATATTGCAGTGGAACAAAGAGTAGAGGCAGGAATTGGATAGCAGGCTTGTGAATTGGACCAGGAAAGGAATGAGGACTCACCAGGAATATGATAGTGGAGGCGGAAACGCAGAAAGGAGGCAGATTCCAGAGTTACTGAGGAAGCTCAACAAAATTGGGGGGTGGACTAGGGGAGGAGAGGGAGGTTCCAGTGATGACACTAAAGTTTTGCATTTGCATGAAAGGAAAGGTGGTGGTATTATTCATTGAGCTGTGGGACATTAGGAGAGAAGCAGGCTTGAGGGAAGGATATATCAGCTAGAGTGCATTTAGCTGCAAGTAACAGAAGGCAGAGGCTAAACTATAAGGCTCTTTATTGTTTAGAGAAGAAGTCTGGAGGTTGAAGTCTCCAGAGTTTGCTGAGACTCTTCCCACCTTTCAGCTCCATTATTCTTAGCCTGCTAGCTTTTTACTCCTATGTTTTTTGTCTCATGATCCAAAAGTGGCTGCCACAGCTCCGAATATCATGTGCTCACACCAGCATTCCAAGTAAGACGAAGTGAGGTACAGGGGCAAAAGATCTTTCCCTCCAAAGCCTCTGTCTTTTTTTCTGGGAAGGAAATCTACTCTAGAATCTCCCCCAGCAAATTTTCCTTGCCTCCCATTGGCCAGAACTGGTTGCATGGCCATCCCTGGATACAAAGGGAGCTAGGAACACTTGTATCAGTGATGAAGACTCTCTTCCTGACAAACTCTAGTCAAGCTCCTCTGAATTCTCTTCTCAACGATGCCCTGACTTTTCGGCTTCTGTGTTCATCTCTGCATTGTCCACTTTTAGCAAGAATCCTCTTAGGTCGATTTCGCCAGAATCCTTCCTCACCCCTGAGGTTTCTTCATAGTAATTTTCCGTCCACTGACCCCACCCTGCTCCTTGGCTATAAATCCCCACTTTTCCTTGATATATTCAGAGTTGATCCAGATCTCCCCCCTGCTACAAAGCCCCATTGCAGTAGGCCCCCTTGAAGAAAGTCTGCCTTTATTACTCGTCAACAAGTGTCATGAATAATTTTTCTTTAACATTAGTCATTTGCCAAAAGAGAAGGGGACTATCGTTGGTAGTTTAGATTAATCATAATTTCTCCTCTGGGCTGAGGGAAGAGCCTCTATTCCTAAAGTCAAGGGATCTCCATCTACTTCCTGTGTCAAACGGGGATCTCTTGGCAGGGATAAAGGAGCTGGGGAAAGGGTAATGGGTTGCAGGGAACTAGGTGTGCACAGAGCATGTCAAGGGCAGCCTTCATTTGTGCAGCCCATATCCATGCTTCTTTCTGGAAACAGCACCTCCATTCTTCCTTAGGGAATTGTCCTCCTCACACTCGAACTGAGTGGTTGGGGTGTGGCTGACCTCATCCCCCACATTGAGGGGTTGGTATATGCCCCAGGTAAGGTTGCCAGATAAAGTATAGGATGCATACCTGGGACATAGTGGTCTTCAAATTTTCTTCATTATCTGAAATTCAAATGTAACTGAATGTCTTGTATTTCTATTTGTTAAATCTGGCAACACCAGACCCGGGACTATCAGTAGGATACAGAGATCTCTTTGGAAAAGGCCGTGAGTCCTAAGCCAGGCTGATGAGAGTCCCTTTTTGGGAGTTTGATGGAGCTCTGAGGAAAGTGGCTCTTACTCTACTGGGTTGCAAAGCTAGAGAACATAACGTCCACGGCAGGTGTGGGCCCCAGACCCAGGTCTGGCCCATCCGAATATTCCTCCCCCAAATTACAATAATTGGTTTATAGCTGAGGACAAAACCCGAGAAAAGTCAGCAAGACTTCAGCATGGGGCTGATGATGGAATTATTGGGAAAGAGAAATCCGTGTGCTGGAGTCACTGAGCTGGAAGAATGTAAGCCTATTGCTGCTGGTGACCATCTCAGCCCCACGTGAGGAGGGCAGGGCTAAAAGTGAAGTCAGCAGGGAAGAAAGCGGAAGCAAGAGATGGAAAGACAGATGCTGAGTCTTGTCAATACCTTTCGAGCCCCTAATATCAGCCAGGCCTTAAGTCACCCTACCCCCTGGGACTTTTCAGTTAACTGAGCCAATAACTTTGCTTTATGGTTTAAACCAGTTTGATTTGGAGTTCTGCCACTTGCCACCAGTAGAATCTTGATTAGGGGAAGATCCCTGGTTCAATTTCAGATGTGTTGAGTTTGAGATGCCTCCAATGTCAAGTAGGCTATTGCACATGTGGGTCTGAGTTAGAGGTTTAAATTGCAAGGTTCCTTTGTATAGATGGTGATTGAATTCTCCCTACCTGCCCTGGCACAAGGTAGGCATTCAATCAATATTTGATGAATATATGAATGAATGAATGAATGCATATAGCAGTCTGATTATTCCTTAGTAGCCCTTTAAAACCAGAAGTGCCAATCATTCCAGACAGATGAGTGAAACAGAATAAAAACAGCTAAAGAAAACATTCATGAACTGGAAGACCAAAGTGAGCAACTTTCCCAGAAGGAAGATTCAAAAAGACAAAGACCAAAAAAACTTAGAAAATATAAAAGAAAAAATGTGATACAGAAGATAGAAGGGGAAGTAAAAATATGCAGACAGGAGGATTTCAGAAAGAGAAACATAAAAATGGAGAGGAGAAAATATCTGAAGAAATAATGGAGAGAATTTACAGAATTCAAGAAAAGATCAAAAAGACTTCTGTTTCCAGCTAGAATACAGAAGCTTCCAGCAGACCAAGGCTCCCACTGCAAAAATTAGAAGGAAAAAAAACCCAGAAAAATTGCAAGCATCATCATTTTAAAGACAGCAGAAAACTATGACTGCGATGCTATAAATGAACAAAATGAATTAAAATTCCAAAGAGGGAGGAGCCCTTCCTTCCTGAATGAGCTGAGGATCGCTAGCTAAATATTCTTCTCTGGGGGCATTTGTCAATTCTGGCACAAAAGCTTAGCTCAGTCAAAGGGACACTACCGGGAGAAAGAGAAACCAGCAGAGCTTTTGGTGGTTATGGGGAGCTGGAGGCTTCTAGAAGCTCCTAAAAGTCAGAGTGAAGTCTCCCACAGTCTCATGGTGTTTAGGAGACAAAGTCCGACTGGAGAAAGAGGGCTTGCCTGAAACATAGGATGTTTGCCTGACTTTCAAGATATGTGGGGTGGGAGACAGGAGAGTTAAACTCAAAACCTCCAAAAGGCAGAATAAAATCTCCCACAGCCATATACCAGGGAGACAGAGAGCTTCCAGTCTCTCATGCAAAAGCCCAGAAGGATCACGCCTGAGAAATGAGGATGAAACAAGCGGAGACAGAGTCTTAGTAAAACTGGAGCGGCTCCCCAGTCCAGTTCAACCCACGACCAGGGTGAGGCGATCAATTCTGACTGTTTGAGCCTGAAAGAGCAGAGGTGGACCATCCTCTGCTGGAAGATAAAATCATCCACATAAAAGATCACGGTTCTGTAGCACATGAGAAACTTGGAAGTTGCCGCTCTGTCCTAACAACAAGGAAAAAGGTGAACGAACTGAAAAATCAACAATTCTTCTTAGATCTGTAAGAGAAGTGATGTCACAGCAAGGGACAGGTCACACAGTGACAGGGACCTGTGACCGTGAGGTCACAGAAGCGAGGGCAGCAAACTGCCGCCCCCAAAGGTGGAGAGACAGACAGAGATAGAGAGAGTCACGATCGACCGGAGCAGGAACCCACAAGCCGAAACCTCCATCGGAACCAGTGCGGGGTAGGGAAACCTGAATTGTAATTGAAGAATTGCTGGGGGCTCAGTGGAGACAACTCTGAGAGTTAAAAATCTCCAGGGGGACCCAGTCACAGGGGACCCCCACACGTTTGTGAGTTTTACGCTCAGGTAAAAACCAGGAAAACCAGGAGTTCCACCTGCTTTTCACAGTGATTATTGGAGAAAAATCCCCTCATGCTTCTGGCAAGGGGGAGGGGAAAAGGAACCATTTTGAAATACACCAAGTATTCTGCTCTTCCTAACAAGGTCTGCCCTCAGGAGAAACTATTTAACCTGCTGGGGTTTTATCAGAGCCTAATTGACCTGGTGAAGGGAAATACTCAACTCCAGACAGTTCTGGCGATCCTGTCCCACCTAAAGTGGGAGAAAACCCCCCTGAGAAACACTTGCAAGGGTCACAGTCCAGAAGCACAGGCTCGCTAAAGGACCGAGACCTAATCCTGGGACTACAGAACACGCCCCCTGCCCCCACATCTCACCACCACCATCCCTGAAGGCCCATTTACAGCAGTTCCTTTCACCTAAGATGTCATGCCTGGCTATTAAGAAACAATTACAAGACACACTAAAAGCAAAAACAGAGTTTGAAGAGACAGCACAAGCATCAGAACCAGACAACTAGGGATGTTGGAATTATCAGACCAAGAATTTAAACCAATTATGATTAATATGCTAAGGGCTCTAATGGATAAAGTAGATAGCCTGCCAAAACAGATGTGCAACGTAAGAAGAGAGATGGAAATCCTAAGAAAGAACCAAAAAGCTAGAGCTCAAAAACACTGTAGCAGAAATGAAGAATGGGGCCGGCACCGTGGCGGAGTGGTTAAGTTCTCGTGCTCCGCTGTGGCTGCCCAGGGTTTCGCCAGTTCAGATCCTGGGCGCAGATATAGCACTGCTCATCAAGCCATGCTGAGGCAGCGTCCCACATAGCACAACCAGAGGCACTCACAACTAGAATCCACAACTATGTACTGGGGGGCTTTGGGAAGAAAAACAAAATAAGATGGCAACAGTTGTTAGTTCAGGTGCAAATCTTTAAAA